TCCTCATAAAGTCCAGTGTGATCTTAACAAATGCCTCTCTGCTGCTCCTCTGTTCATCATCCTTCCTCTGACTCTCTAAACATTCTGGGTAATCTGGACTCAGAACCTTTTGCATCTTTTTCAGCTCGTTCTTCACAAAAGTGATGATTTCGTTCTCCAGCACCTGGAACAGAATACTTTAAGAATGACCCAAACATCAGATCCATGTTGGACATACTGACAATCCACTGGTCTATAAAGAGCAGTATGGAGATGACTATGAACAGAATACATGTACAAGTAGTTGTTGTACATTTACAGACCATAAATATGGAGTCCAGGTGTGTTTGATGCTGCTGGGCAGACTGACCACTGGGAACCTCTGAGCTCTCCTGGTCCGCTCTGTGGAGAAATCATGAAGAGTTAGATCACATTGATTCTGTTCACAGAAAGACACACAGAAATTAAAGTACACATAGATGCTTTGTGCAGTTGGTGTGCAGTGTATCCCATCAGTATACATAAAACAAGTCATCATTTTTCATTTTCATTAAGATTTCTGTGCATATTGATTTAGATTTTTTTTTCCATTTTATCATGATTCTAGTATTTTAACTTTAGGTTTGTTGTGTTTTTTAAATGTCTTGTTCATTTTTCTGTCCAATTTCTGTGTAGTTTTTGGTGTGTGATGAGGTTGCTTTGTTGGTGATGGTTTTCATTAAACTTAACTTCCTATTTTGAGGTAATTTCTTTCATGTTTAATCCATCAGTGCCCCCGTCTCAAATTTTTGTGTTAGTGTATTTGGTGTGCTCTGCTTTTATGTGGAACTCAGTTGTTTTTCTTCCTGGGTCAGTGAAAGGTTCTATAGGAGCCATTTTTGGGTTAATACCTTATGTGGCTGCTAGAGGTCACCTTTTTCTGTTTTGTCCATGTAAAGGTATTTAAGATAGACGCACGTAATCGGCGTCAGGTGTGTCATTAATTGTAAGAAGGCAAACAGTATGTGACCGCTGCGCTGTTATGTTAAGATGATATTGAAATAAAGACCAAAAAGGACAAGATAAGTACTGCTGGAGTTATTGGACTGTTTAATTAGTTTATACATACCAGTGACATCGCATCACCCTCATTAACGACCACCTCAGTGGCTTCAAGCGTAGGCTTAGCCTCTATAGGTTCTGTTATTTATTTACTGTTTTACTTTGAAGGCTGGTTTTCTTTCATGTCTTGCTTTTACTTCCTCCTGTCATCAGCTGTCTGCCACTCACTGGTTGTTCCTGTTCCCTGTTAGTACACAGTTTACTTAAACTACAGTTCAATCTTGTACTGTTCATCATACTTCTCAATTTATGGATAAATCTTCACTTAAAAAAAACAACAGACAAAAATTAATTATTGTAGGATCTACCCTACAGTATAAAGTGCATTGAGGTGACTGTTGTTGTGATTTGCCACTATATAAATAAAACTGAATTGAATTAAAAACACATATCACCTGTTATGAAAACTAGTTCTCTGTCTGGAAAAAAACATAAAATTCCAGCCAGACATCAAAGCAGCGCTCACGTGGAGTTACGCTCACAAAAGTATTTGTCCTCCCCCATCCAGCAACACCTGAAGAAACACTTGAGTGTAAGTTCCTCTCTACGCTGTGTTTGAAGCAAACCACAAAGGAGGCACCTGCTGGAGCAGCTGGAGTCCTACAGACACTCCACCTCTTCAATACAGAAACACGTCCTACAACATCCATTCTTTACACTCTGACTGATGTGATTGTGGAAACACTCCAACACACACACACACACACACCGCTTCACATATGAACACAGAAATGAGTGTGAAAAAAAGCTGAGCTGACATTAAACATGATGGACAATTTATTCACAAACCCTGAGTCATAACAACATTTACACACACATTACCTCTCTGCAGGAGGAGAGAGGCCTGATTTCCATACTAAACAAAAAATTGTTTAATAATATAAGATTTTATGCAATATAGTAAGAGACAATTGGAAATTAAAAAGCAATAAGCAAATCTGGAACGGTAGTTACAGATGTTGGAGAAAAAAAAAAGCTGCAGCCGCTAAGGCAAGAGCAGAGGTTCTAGAAGCTGCTGCAGATGTTGAGCAACAAAAGGGAGAAAACGTAAAAAGCTCAGTCCCATCACAAGTTGTCAGAAAGAAAACTATAAAGTATGTACAACATCAAACCCAGCTACGGTCACATCCGGCTGAAGATGGAACACCTCAAGTCAAACTGACAACAAAGGCGACTTTATTTACTCCAAGGAAATCTGGACTAACTTCCTCCCCACCTGTACTCACAAAAATCTACGTAGAGGAGAAAACTGTTGAGCCACCAAGTGACTATGTCAAACCAAACAGTTGGACTCACACCAAACTGCTTCCAGTGGTTCTCAAACTGAACTTCACTGGTACATGTCATTGCCTTCTTAATTCACCACGTTCGTTCTCACTTATCAAGCAACTCATCAAATTATGCATAGGAGGTGGCATAAATGCAGAGAACCACGCACTCCAGAGGAGATGGATGCCTCCCAGTAACCTCGTTTTCTAGTCTGTTCAAAAGGACACTTTTCCTGACGAATATGCCTCTCTCCAAGCTAATTAAACCATCCACAGCTCTAGCCCCATTATAGCCCTTGACCCCTATATGGTTAAAGGCCTCATCAAAGTTAGAGGTCACCTACAGCATGCTTCATTGGAGACAACATTAAAGAATCCAAAATTCTTCCAAGCATCACGTGTCAAAGTTGCTTGTCCTGCACTATCATGCTAAGGAGTGCAACAAGAAAGGCATCTCACAAAAAGTGTGGTTACGCAAGCTCGACTGTGGATTGTAGGCTGCAAAAGACTGGTCCAATCCATTATCCACCGCTGTGTAACATGCAAGAAACTCAGAGGAAAACTAGAGACTCAAAAAATGTCAGATCTCCCGCTTGAAAGACTCAAAACATGCCCTCCATTTTTGTATGTTCGACCCATAGTCAGAGGTCACTCGATGCATATGAGGTGGTACAGCACAAAGTGAGATATAGGTGATACTTTATATGTATGACTACAAGAGGTGTACACATATATGTCATTTAACCTATGGACACTTGCTACTGCATAAATGCAATGGGCAGATTGTTCGCAATAAGAGGCCCAGCAAAACAAATGTGATCAGACAGGGGCACAAACTTCATTGCAGCAAGTGTGGAGCTTGGGATGTCAATTGTCTCCACGCCAGCGGTTGCAGATGGGAGTTCAACTACCCACATGCCTCCCACATGGGGGGTGTCTGGGAAAGGATGATTGGGTTAACTCAGCGAATATTGGATTCTACGTTCTTGTAAAACAAACACACCCACCTGACACATGAGGTGCTTTGTACCCTAATGGCCTAACAGACCCTTCCTCACCATTCCTGCTGTT